AAGACAATGTCATATGAAATACTTGTCTATCAAACTGTCACCCTCTTACTATACAGAAAATTATTATCTTAAAGAAATCAGATTCTCAGAGGAGATCGACCTCATGGCTCAGACTCCATTTTGTCTTAGGTTCCTCTTCTATTTCTGAGAAAGTGACCCATGACTGTCAATAGGTAAACCAAGGAGGGGGAGCTTGCCCTCAGAGAAGAACACTTAGTATGTTTTAAAGAGATTAACTGAAGACCTCCAACATAAGAGGTCAGTCCTGTATTATCTTGCTAATCGTTAGTTCTCTAATGAAAACTTGTTTGTCACATGTAAATTTTTCTGTTTCCTGTAGACAAACTTGAGTGCTCCTTATGGAAGAGGCTGCATAGGTCTGGCCACATTGTCTCATGATCTTGTTTTTCCCTCCCATTCTAGTCTCTATAAAAAGTTTAAGGTTAACCAGTGTTCCTCTTTGGAGGGTGGAAAACAAGTGATAATGATCTAGGAATGACAAACCAAACAAAGCATCCATCTTGGGAGAAGAAAACCAGGATGTCACCAGATAAACCCCAAGAAAAGAAGAGAAGATTAACTCATCTGGGACATGACCGCCTCAAGTGGGAACTAACACAAACTTCTAAGACCCATAATCCTGTCCTTATAAAAGCCTTTGGCTGATCTCCAGTGGGGGAGACAGGTTTTTGGAGGAATCTATTCCCCTCTGTCTCCTGTATATCAATATATAATAAAACTCTTGCTGCTCACCTCACCCCTGTCTCAGAATTGGCTATTGCGGCAGGTGGCTCCAATCCCCCTTATTGTGGTAACACTTATGGATATATGTTTCTGTGTGGTAAATCCAACTATACTAATTTAGATAATCCCATTCCAACTGAGTGAATTTTTGTGGGCAGTGTCTTTAGATTCCTGTATAATGTATGGGGAATGCACTTTGAGAACTCTAGGATTACCTTTAGATATTCATAGTAATGATGCTAGTAAATACTGGAAAGGTAATGTTAATTTGTTACCCATTGTAAAACAAGAGTCAGAAAAAAAACCCATTGGTACAACACTCAGGGTATGGTTGGTAGCTTTAATTCCTACTTATAGTGTAGTTGAATTGGAGAAATCTTTAAGAAAATTTGTCAGTCGCTATGGGACAAATAGCAGACAAAGTTGCTAAGGGGCTGGAAGCACGGCATTGAGCTCTGATCTCATAAATCAAGGTGACATGAGATAACAAAATGGCCTTAGATTTTTTTATTAGTGTAGTCTGTGCTGTAGCAAATACCTATTGTTGCATTTGGATAAATAACACAGGAGAAGTAGAACAAGATACACATAGAATTAGACAGCAAGCTACTTGGTTACACACTGTAACACTCTTACAAACATCAGATTTGTTTGGTTGGTTACCGTCAGGAATAAGTACATGGGCTAGATCAGTATTGCAAGGGATAGTAATATTCTTAGTCTGCATCCCGATAGTATTAGGCATAATAAAATTTATCTTCTATTGTCTTACACACTTAAAAGGCAAAGAAGGCCTCAGGCTAAAATATTGATGTACATTGCATCTGCTCACTCCAGCAATGCAGTTGATGAGACAATCACTCTTACCTAACAACCTGGTGACGAACCAGATGGTATCCAGTGGAAAACTAGCACCATGAGTTTAAAGAGCCTGCAATGGCCACCATCTAGGAGCTCAACTAAGTCCAGGTATTGATCATCGATGTGTTATCTCCAATCTCCGATCAAAAGGAGGGAATGATTTAGGAAATAATATTGAAGTTATTATTCCCTGTCCTTGAGTGTAGAGAATGTGACCCAGATGGAGCTGGGCTCACAAGGACACATCTTCTGGGCCCTGGGGTGTAAAGACAATAGCTAAGATAATCATGGAAGATATCTTTTAGGGAACTTTCACATAAAGCCAATCAAATAGAACACAAAAAAATTTTCACTTTTATCTTTTTCTATTAACATTTAGTGAATAGAAAATTATTGGGCCAATGAAGACCTTCCTGACTGTCGTTACTGAAACCTATACCAATGATTGTTAAGAAAGACAATTCAAAATGTAGGATCACAGTTTCTAGCCAATCTGTGAAAAGGCAAAGCTTTCAATGGTTTTGCCCATTTGTAATGTTAATATATACTGATGACTCTGTAATTGTCTTTGGACTCGGGCAGACATGGCTGTGGCAGCATGCTTGTCTGTTTTCCCATGCTTGCCTATTTTGTAATATTATTTGGACTTGGACAGACATGGCTCTAGCAGCATGCTTGTCCATTTTCCCACTTTTGTCTCTTCTGTGATTATTTCCTTGGACTCGGGCAGACATGGCTCTGGCAGCATAGTTGTCTCCTTCCTACTTTTTCCTTTTTGAATATATGCCAAATAAAACTTTCTTTTTGCTCTACTAAAAAATAAGTAAATAAATAAATAAAAATCCCTTGTCAATGAACATTTCCTGCCAATTTTTTCAGTCTGCCTGGTGCTGTGGTCAGTGACATACCCACTTCTGTCCCGCTTGCTTTCAAGGCCCCTCCCCAGGCTCCCTCTTGGGATGCCCGGCTCCTAAGTTGTCTGGAGTTGCCCAGCATAGTGGTGTATTTTTCGTGCAAGACTAAAACAGTGATTCATTTAAATATGAGAGTATTTTTTATAGTGAGGTTTCATGCTCCCTACTTACACCACTGCTCAAAGGCACATAGATTGGGAACATCTATTAAACTTATGCTAACTAGTTGATATTTATATGTTTTGATAATATTTTAGTTAAATTAAATTTTTGACACGTATCAAATTTGTCATCCCATTAAGTCTCACACCCCAGGTGGCCACCCATATAACCTGCCACTTAATCCGGCACCATCCAACCGGTTTTCCTCTCCATTTGTCTTCAAGGCAGAAGCTCCCAAGAACACAGAAACATCAGAATAAAGAGAATTGGGTGGAGAAGTTTTTACCTTGTGCCACAGGGCAGGTGAGAAGGTGGCCAGCAGTGGAACATTCTTCTCTCTCTAGGAAGGCCTGAACTGCACAGACCTTGTCCCTGGAGCTGGACTCTCTGGTCTGTCACTGCCTGAGTGGGAACAAATCTGCCTTTGACTTCTGATCTCATGAACATTTTCAAATAGTGCCTCCATTACAGGGAGCTGCCAATCAAACTATTCAAGCAAAATCATGAGCTAGAGGCCCTCAATGTTTCTCTTCAGGCTCCCCTGTCCCTCGGGAACTCTAGGGACCACCTTTCATTGAGGACAAAGCTCTGTAACTTGTTATCTTGAAAGCACAATCCAAAACTGCTCCTCTTGGCCTTGGCCCTGGCCCTAAATCTGAAGCTGCCCAGACCTAAACTTGGATTCTGGCCCTGGTTTTGGTCCTGGCCCTGAATAAGGTGCTGAATGTGTATCTGACAGTGACCTTGACCCTTGCTATGGCCTTGGCCCTGGTATGACTTTTACCCGGACCCTGGACATGGGGACGGGCTCTGGGCTGATCCTGAACCTGACCTTAGCTATGGCCCTGGACCTGACTCTAACTCTGACCCTTAGACTGACCCTGGCCCTGATCCTGTCCCTAGACTTAACTCTAGTCCTGGCCCTTGCCCTGAACATGACACTAGTCCTGGCCCCTGGCCAGACCATGGCCATGGCTCTGACCTGACCCTTACCTGACCCTGACCCAACCCCTGTTCCGCCCGTGACCTTGACCCTGACTCTGACCAGATCCTGTCCATGGACCTGACCGTGCCACTGGCCCTACTGTGTCCATGGCACCTGCCCTGGTCCTGGCCCCAACCCTGGCCATGAACCTACCCCTAATCCTGAACTTCAATCCCGGCCCCTAAACCCTAGTTGAAAAAATAACTTGAAAAAGAAATGTATTAAAACTCAGGACATTATTTTAAGTAATTTATTTATACCAAAGCCAGAATTTGTTTTAATTTTCTTTCCTGGATTTAATGGAAATAAACTCATCAGCAATACAATGAAAGCTGTGAGAGCTGGAATTCAACAGGACTGTCTTCTTCCAGGTCTCACAAGTTTTCTGCCTTTGACAGGGTGTAGTCTTACCACTTTTCTATCCCTCTCAGTTAGTGGGAAATATTTGAGTTTTCCTTCTCTGACGTGTTTCAGTCTTACACAAGTTTCAGCTTTTGCAAGTTTTACTACCTTATGAAAATCCAGTTCTCTACTTGGCCTTTTTCTAATGGAGAGAATTGCCAAGTCTGTTCATTTTTCTTCATCAAGTGACAATCTTCAATAATTTTTAATTGACTTTGACCTACTGAATGATCTTGTCTCTAAAATTTTGATATTTTGTTTATCATGGATTGTTTTCACCAATTTTAACTTTCAAAATACAGGTAGTCCCTGGCTTACAATGGGGTTCCATTCCAACCAATACTTGTACTAAAGTAAGTTGAATACCTCATTTTTTTCTTTAGTTTTCATTATTATTGCCTTTTATTATCAGTATCTTTATAAATCAGATCTTTATTTGTCTTTGGAGGTTGGAAACATTACATCTGAGAATGGTAACATCAGCAAATTACATGCTGCAACACTGCATGCAGTACATATTACAAACCATAAGATGTACCAAAAAAAAAAAAGTTTTAAGTGTGGTTTGAAGTAACTCGAATATGTCCTAAGTTGGGGAGTACGTGTACATTTCAAAGTATTATTAGTCCTGACCACCGAGTTTCTTGGCATGCCTTAAATATTTCCTCATTCATCCTAAACTGGCCCTGCTCAGGAGGCGGGTGGATGGAACCAGCAGGTCACAGAGTCCAGGCCAGAGGAGGCCCAGCCTTCTATGTCTCTGTGCCCCTTCGCTCTCCGCCTGTTTCCTCCCTCCAGATCATTCTAACACTCAGTGGACTTTTGAATATTGAGCTCGTGCTTTACTTCTTCTTGTCTCCACAGTTCCCATCAAGGCACGGGATAGTTGGTGTACCCAACATTAAGTTTCAAGTTCCAAAACCATTGCTTAGAATCATCTGACGCTGAATTTCAGCGATTTGGCGGATGGCCGCGAGAGGGCGCGAGAACCGCAGGTTCTGCCCTCCCGGCCCACCGAGCGTAGGAACTGCCTGAGGCTGGCTCGGGACCGACCTGAGCGCCGCTCCCACGGCGACATCAGGAGCTTTCCTTCCCGCGGGGCCCACCGCCCCAGGTAGGGATCCGGGGGCGCTTCGAGACTAAACCGGTGCCGAGTCAGCAGTGAGAAAAACGCTCCTCTTCACGGCCCAGACTACAGAAGAGGGAGAAGGCGGGCTTCTCCCAGACACTTTATTCAATAACGAGAGAGCGCAGAACCATCCGTTTTCTAGGCTGTTTCCATGTCAACTTTAAAAGGTGTATTCCAAAGTCACATTGTCGTACATTTAATTTTTTTACTCCGAACCAGAATCTATTATCATTTTAATTCCCTAGCTTTAAAGGAAATTAATTCATCCCTAATATTTTATAAATATACTTCTTAGCTTATCTAATTTTCAAAAGAGAATATTGCCATGTTTGACATTTTCTCCTAACCCAGTGACGATCTTAATTTTTAATTAACTTCAGCTTACTGAAATTTCTTTCATAGGACCTGGCTGTAACTGGTGTCAGTGGATGAATGAATGAATGAAATGCAACAAAACTGTTCAGCATGTTTCTATAATCTCAAATCCCATAAGATATAATACACTATTAGCTTTCAAAATACATATGTATAAGCACTCATAATATGAACTTAGATAGAAACTATGTCTACCTTTGTGAGACTCTCTAACATTAACTATAAGTCATTTGAAACCTATAAGTCATTAGGAAGTTATTTAGAAATTTTTCAGCTTAGACATAGACGCATGCTCTTTATATATAAATAACACAGCCAGTAAATTCACTTTGACCCAGCATGCTGTGACACAAGAAAACATAACATCTTTATGTTTTAATCTGTAAACAACCTCCCTAATCTCTAATCTTGAAGAAAAGATGTCTCATTCAGCTGGTCTCTAACCCTGGAGAAAAAAACATACTAGTCTTTGATGTCACACTGGCCCTTGTCGTGTGGAGCCAAGGTGACAAATAAACATATAAACCCTAGATTTCTGCCCATTCACTGAGAGAAGGCAAACATGGAACTGAGATTCCGTCGGTTGCCTCCAGTCTTGGACACAAGCTACAGGGCCCACCACTGAGTTCTCCTAGTGGTTAAACCTTCCTCCAGAGAACTCTCATTAAAGGTAAAAGCCTGAAGTCTAAAGACTTGAACTCTAACCACCGAACTAACATTGTAATTGTAAATGTCAACTCTGATTCTCTGGTTCTAAATAAATGTTGTGAGGTTTTACTTGCGTGACTTGCCATTGCTACCTTGCAATAAACTAAATGAGTTTATTTACACGTGTCAAACCTGAGTATCTCTCTCTTATCTTCTAAGAGAAAATCTTCCAAAACACAAATCTAAACTAAGTTAAATATACAATGAAAGGAAATGTTAAATAAAATAAAATATCATGTTACATTTGATATTAAATAAAAATTAAATAATAAATGAAATGAAATAAAATAAAATGATATGAAATAGAACTAAATTAGATTAAATTAAATATT